AATTATTGAAATTATGAACATTTAAAAAATTATTACTATATTAAAATACTAAAGAAAGAGAAGTCTGGAGAAGATAAGACCTTAGAGCAGCATCCAGTACCTAAAGGGGCTGAAAAGAAAGCTGAAGAGGAGCTTTTTACAAGGGCAAGTAGTGATAGGACAAGGGGGAATGGCTTTAAAATGTCTAAACCAGATAGTAGGAAGTTCTTCCCTGTGAGGTTGGTGAGGCCCTGGCACAGGTTGCCCAGAGAAGCTGTGGCTGCCCCATCCCTAGCAGTGTTAAAGGCCAGGCTGGACGGGGCTTTGTGTAGCCTGCTCTAGTGGAAGGTGTCCTTGTGTGTGGCAGGGGAACTGGAACTGGATGAGCTTTAAGGTCTCTTCCAAACAAAACCATTTTTTGATTCTTTGATTTTGTGAAAAGAGATGTCATCAAGAGCATGGCGCACAGTGGAAAATAAACTGATGACAAGCGTGGCAGAACGTGCTTTACAGCTGGCCTTGTTGGTTTTGCCTGAATTACAGATATTTTTCACTGTGAGTCATTCCAGGGATGTAACTATCCTTTCAAAATGAAGATGACACAAGAGCCACTTTCTTAATAAGGTTTATGTTCAAAACCAGATAGCTCTGATTATATCGCTGGCCAAAATTGTTGAAGAGCAGCAGGCACTGGATTTGCACAGCAGAAATAAGGCAAACATTAAATGGGAGTTTTCCCTCTGTGGTGTGCAGATAGAAGTATTTGCCCATGAACTGAACCATGCAGTTTTATATATCTATAACTCCTAAAGAAAACTCTTATTGTTAAGGAAAATCAATTGTTGTTGTTATAAGTTGTAAAGAACTTACTTTAAAGACTGCCACAGGTTTTTTTTATAGGAGTATACAGTAGATTAATTTACTTTGCATTCAGTTGTCATTAATTACAGAGATGATTGACTTTTTGAGTCAATGAAGAAATTTATGGTTGAAATCAATAGGCCAAGTACAAAGGACTAAGGTTGTGTTTATTTTTTATAAACATAACTGTGCATATAAGCAATCAATATTTAATCATCCCATAGGATAAATATCTCAAGAAATCTATATGTTCTAGTCTTCTAGAGGTTACAGTGTTTCCTAACAACAGGCATAGAATAAATACTCTTTCATTGACCACATAGAGAAGATGGTTGCAGACTGCTGCAATAAAACACTGCTACACTTTTACTGTCCCCTTTCTCTGACATCAGGGAAACACATTTTGCTTTTCTGCTAGCTTTAGGAAACAAAGACTTCCAAATATTCAAAGGTAATCAAAAGAAGGAGCCCCTGTGAAGCCTTCTGTGCTGTGGATTGACTGAACATAGATATGCTCTGCTAAATTAATTACAGGTTAGCATATGATAATGCTAATAAATGCATCAGGAATGTGTTTTTTCCTCAGTGCTTTAAAAATACTCACAAACAATTGGAAAACTCTTGTTTCAGCTTGGCCAAAGTAAATTTCCCAAAATGTATCTCACCATTTTCTTTGTAAGGCAAAAATCTTTAAGAATTTTTCTCCTACAAAAATTCTTTTTTCAGGCAAATTGTGTTTCTTTCTAATTGTAAAGCTCGGAACACACATTGACGTGCAGACATATGTTTTAAAGATGGATTTGCTGGTGCATTCTCTCTTTGAAACATCAACCTGGACTTTTTAATGTAAAAAGCACAGCCTGGGTGTTGGGTAGAAGCTGTTCAAGTGATTTAAAGGAATTGGGTGGCGTAGATTTGGCTCCTTCCCAGCCAAAGGTGGTGAAATAGATGCCCAGATCTCTGGAGGAAGACAGACACTGCTGCAGGAGCAAAGGGAGAGGGCCGCATTGTTCTTAGTGCTTTAATGCCAACCAGTGCATGACCAAGAGCTTTGGGTGTCTCCAACATGGAGTTTTAGCTTTGCAGAGCCTCCCCAGTTTCATGCTAGGAGTTTGGGATGCCCCAAGGCATTGTAGGAATCTAAATCCTATTTTTAGGGTAAGTTGGGCATTTCACTGTGGTGCCTCAAAATCATGCAGACCTTTAAAAATGCTGTGCTAGAAAACCCTTGTTTTTCCTTCTGGTTGCATGTCTGACCTTCATTTTTTTACTGTATCAGCAAGTAAATGAGTTCAGCTGCTACACCTGTATTTAATACACTTTCAATACTGGTCAGCCAAGGGTCCATTGCTGTTTCACACCTGGTCTGGGAATCAGCTCTGCATTGATGCCCAGGCTGCTAGCAGGGGTCCAGCAGGGTTGTGTCAGGCTTCAGGAGTGATGCCTCCAGGCATCCATCTCACTTCCAACAGCTGCATTTATGTTCCTAGTGAAAAAAAGAAGATTGAGAGCTGAAGGTGGCAAAAGCTGTGTGGATACTGATTTTCTTTGCTTATTTGTTCAACAGTGGAGCTGAAAAATCAGGCAAGGGGATGCTTTGTGTCAAATCTGGCAACAATTTTGAGATGTTTGGGGTTTTTCTGGTTTCCATGGTAAAAATAAGAATTAGAACAGAGCTAGTGTTGATTGCAAGGCAAAAAGATGTGTGTTGCTTCCCATTGAGAAATGCCAATATCCAATATTGGCTTAGGATGCATAAAGCTGAAATGAAATCAAATTGTATTGCTTTCAGAATTAATAAAATAATGGATCTTCCTTACTGCTTTTGTTTGGGTGGTGTAGAAAAAGGCAGTAGTCTAAAGCATTTGATAAATCTAAAGCATAAAGTCTAAAGAATTTGATAAAAATTCATGACTACCTTTGGTAACTTTAAACATATAGCATTAATTATTGAAATTATTTGCAAAGTTTCTGTTTCGGTATTTCCTTATCCAGAAATGAGGTGCAACAGGGAATATTTTACAGTAGACCACTGTAAATAGTCAGAAGTACCCCTAAGCAATAGCTAGCTAACTTCAAATGACAGAAAGTCAGTACTGGCTCATGCAACTGAAAGCACAGTTTTGTTAATGCAGTACCCACAAATGTAATTGGCAACCAGCATGGTGCTATAAAACATATGCCCTAAAAACCCACCAATGACATCTATTAAAAAGTTGAAAATTAGGTACTTTTCTTCAGATTTATGTTTCTCTCATTCTTAATTTTTGTTAAAGGTACAGACACAATCGTGAAATTATATTTGGTACTACACTGCTCACTTTTAGGGCATAGTCAATAGTTTTAATCTTCCTTGTAGTCAACTTCATAGTATAATTTAAAAAAAATAATTAAAAAAAAAATGGGATCATTACAAAGAGCAAACAACAAAAGGTACAATGGAAGTAAGATTAGGAAAGTTTCCTTTAGAAGACCAGCAAATTACTGCAAATGTAGTTTATTTGGATGAACTGTGGTAAGTTTAGTACTAGATTTCAGATATTTCAGTATATATTTTTATTGCATCAGCAAATTAAAGTCCTGGAATAAAAAGTATTGTGTCCTTAGTAAACTTGTTATGGGTGAACTTTTAATAGGTAAGACCTTCAGTGCACTGACAGGTATAGTAAGCTTAGTGGAACATCTCATTTTAGCATCACTGCACCTGTACAGTTGTCATGGGATGTGTGGTAAATATTTAATGTTTTTTCCTTTGTTCTCTGCAGATAGTGTGTGTAATAAGGCAAGGTCTCTGTAAGTAGCATTGCAGTATCAGTCACTCTGCTGCCCAAAATCTGTATGATTTCTGCTTATCTATAAAGTAACATTAGAGACAATGTGACACTTTCTTCTAGTGATGCCTTGTTAATCAGATTAATTTCTTGATAAGGCATATAAATAAAAGAAACTATGGATGTTGATGTTGAAAACATTGTGCAGTCTATAAAGCACAAAAATCTATCTTCCAATTTTTTTAATAAAATAGCCTCTTTGCTCATGTTGACTTTCTTTGTTCCCTGAAATCCATCCATCTGAAACTACAAGGATTGCTGGTAATTATGCACTAAGACCATTAGTGGCTAGCCTATTTGTTTCTCACAACAAAAGTGCTAAGTACTTGGAAATCAAACTGCATTTCAGTTCTTCAGTGTGTTCTTATTAGCTTCAGATTATGCCACGAATGACAGCTGTGAAACCTCATTGCCTTTAACAAGGAGGCAATACCCAGCTCACAGAGTCGTGGCTGTCCCAGCCTCGTGTGCACAGTGGCCAATAACACATCTGCTGTGTAGCTGGCCAGTAATGTTTTAAAATCTTGGAGGGAATAGGCATGAGAGGCCAATTTACCTGGTCAGGTTTGAGTCTTGGGTGACATGGTCTAGAGTGAGGTGTCCCTCCCCATGGCAGGGGGGGTGGAACTAAATGATCTTAAGGTCCTTTCCAACCCTAACTATTCTATGATTCTATATCACATAGTAAATTCAGCCTCGGTTAGCCAATGAAATGAACCAAAATGAGCAGCATTTTTTCAAGGGGAAAAAAAAAAGTTATTTAACAATTTGATAAGTAGGTTTTAAACACAGGTGCAGGTTTGCAAAGGTGGCGGTTCCTAAATATGGAAGAATTCAGTGAGATTTTGTAAAACTCTTTGGCATCTGCCTGGATGCTTGCGTGCTTACACACCATCCCAAATGGGGTGCATTGTCCCTTACTGTAGTCTCTGTCTGGTGAGTGTCAGCAGTTCTTCTGATCTAAATGAACGTGATACTTTTCCTGCATGCAGCAAGCGTCTGGGTGCTGCATGGTGCCTATAGCCCATGGGCTGCCCAGGGTTTGGTGCAGGACCTATACGGGCAGAGGATAACAGGCAGGTGTCAGTCAGGGGTGGCCTCTTCATAAAGTGTGTTTGCAATCTGCAATCCCATCTGTTTGTAACAGAAATTCCCATTAGTGGGTTGTCTCAGGGAGGTTGGTAGTTTTGCTGTATCTCTAATCCTTCTGTGTTGTTGGAAGGTTTAAGGATGCACCCAGGGTTGCACAGGTCTGCATGTGCTCCCGTTAAGATGAAGACAACATCTGCCCCAAAAGGTCTTATATTTGCATTCTTCTTTTGATTCTAGGCTGGACAACAGCGTTGGTGGGAACAGGAAATTACAGTGAATGGAAATATTCAAAAGGGAGAATTAATTACCTACAACCTAACCGAGCTGATCAAGCCAGAGGCATATGAAGTCCGTCTAACACCCATCACCAGATTTGGGGAGGGGGACTCAACTATTCGGGTCATCAAATATAGTGGTAAGAAGACTTTTGTGTACAAGCAAATGCGTTGTGGTGAATTCTGCATAATTTGGTCTTTTGTACAGGGCATGGCTGTGCTGTGTGAACTGAACACCTGTCCTGGAAATAATGCTGCAAGGCACGAGGGCAGGCTTTTAGGAAGGAGGGTTCTTCGTAGAAACAAAGTTTTATCTCCACCTTTGGAAAGATTCACAATATTGAATACAAAATAAAAATAATAATTAAAAAAAAAATCTGAACAGCCAAAATGCAAAATCTGATTGAAGTTTTTGTGAAATAAATGGAAAAATTGAACAAATTGATATTAGCTCCATGAAAAGCTCATTTCAAGAGTTTGTTCTTACTTTGAACACTGAAGGGCAATGGGTTTTGAAGAAAAATCTACAAAACAAGTATTATTCTGAAAGTGTCAAATCAATGTTGCGATGTCATCAATATACTTCATTTTTCTTCCAGAATGAGCACTTTCTGAGCCATTCTTATTTGAATGTGAATGATATATACATAAAGTGACTGTTTCTAGTCCTAAACAAGTGGAAAGGGGCATTTATACATCTTCTTCTAAAAGGCTGAGCTGTGATGAAAATTTGTCCACTTTAACCTAACAAGAAAAACACAGTATCCATACATCCTTCCATTCAGTCTCCCAGCATTACCAGGAATTAATTCCTAGAGCTCTGAAAAATCCCTTCAGATACCTTTCTTAGGGTATTTTTTTAATGAATAACTGAATCACTTTTTTTTTTTTTTTTTTGTCTGTAAAAATTACAATGACTGGGCAAGAGGAGCCTTAGAGAGAAGGTAGCTTAGCTAAAGATACTGTTGTGCAGTTTGCAGTGGGAAACCTGATGTGCTTAGCGGATAGATTTATAATTGAAGAAGGGATGTGTGTGGCAGGGGGATATAACTGTAAGCATGGAACCATGAAAGTATTTCATCATTTGGGGACAGACTTTTGTAGCAGGGCCTGTAGCAATAGGACAAGGGGTAATGGCTTTAAACTGACAAAGGGTAGATTTAGATTTAGATTAGATATTAGGAAGAAATTCTTCTCTATGGGGATGGTGAGTTCACAGAGCTTGCCCAGAGAATCTGTGGCTGCCCCATCCCTCACAGTGTTCAAGGACAGGTTGGACAGAGCTTGGAGCAAGGGGTTTGGAACTAGATGATCTTTAAGATCCCTTGCAACACAAACCATTCTGTGATCCTATGTTTCTACAATGAGGAGCCTTGCTAATCAAGTCACAGCTAGCCACATAGGTCAAATTGCTCCAGGAGCTGGATCCAACCATAATTAGTGCTATGCAGATACCTAAGAGAGCCCAAAGCAGGAAATCACATGCAGCAGAACACCCAAAACCAACCTACAGATGAGGAATTACTTTCAGAAATTATTATCAAATAATTTATCTGAAAAAAACATTTAAATGTCTTGTGCATCATCTGTACAGTTCTTAATGATCAGTGATTAGCTCAGCTCTACTCAATCTCATATAAATTAATTTTATCATTGTAATAATATCCAGGAAAAATTTGCATTATGTAATCTCAAATATCAATTCTAAAGAATGGAGTGGCACATTTCACTAAATGCCAGATCTGGTAATGATGGTGATGAATCTTCACCTGCTACAGGAAAGTGTTTGCAAAGTCTTTGTTTCCTAAATCTCATGAGAACAAAATCTAAATTAAAAAAATGACTTGCTTACTACATCCATGAAGTTACAAATGAGGAGAAGATGGCCACGCTGGCGCAGTTCCTGTTGGACTTTGCCTCTTCGTTGGACCTCTTACCTTAAGAAGTTCCTATTTTCCAACACTAGCAGTATTAGTCAGGTCTCTTTGGGACTCCCCACATGTAGATAGGAAAGACCCAGAGTTTTCCAAAGGTGATCAGGAGCAGAAGCTTCATTCCGACATTTGGGATTTCTCTGTACCAATCCCAGTCTCTCCATGGTGGCTGTGACAGGCACACTTATATCCTGACTAGTGACCTAGTGACTCCCTAGATACCTAGGGACACTAGGTATCCTCACTAGTGGTTGCCTAGCTTGTGCTAGGTAGCCACTGCCCTCTTCTGTGGACCTTGAAATTTCTCCCATTACTTAAATAATGACCAGTGCTCCTATCAGGAGGAAAAAAAAAAACACTATTGGGGTCACTCAGTTACTACTGCTCTTTTTTGGTGGGAGTTTTAATCTGGCAAGTCTCAGAAGGTTGATTGAGGTCTCGGCTGTGGCTCCCAACTGTGCTGAGTTTGAGGTCTTAATGAAACATGTGTTTTACATTTCTAGCACCTGACTGGCAGGAAGAACATTCCCATGCAGCATTAAAAGCGTATTTTTTCTACGGAAAATTTTTCTGCTAGAATCTGCCATTAGCGCAGATGTGAACAACATCCTATTTCAAATGTGCTGATGAGGTGCCAATATAAAATCCAGCTGCTCAGGAGAGTGGAAGCTGTTGCTTCTTCTGTACCCTAGATGGAGAGATGCTTTTGGAGCAATATGTAGTGCTGTTACTCTGATGCTGACAAATTCACAGCTTCAGGAGTCATGACCCAGATGCTAATCACTAAGATAAACTAAATCACTAAAGTGACTTCCCTTTAAAGAAGGATCCCAAAACCACTGAGGCTCTGTGTGCTTAAAATAGGCATTTTTATCTTAGGATTCGTCCAATGAGTCTAATGTCAACCATCTATTAACAGGGTAATTTTAAAGATGTTACAGCTTCAACTCTAAAATAATGATGTAATGGACATTATTATAATGCAAATCCGGTTCTTACGATCTGAAATGCTGGAATCTTAGAAAAGCAGTTAATGGGCTAGCACAATCCACGGCAGCCCGCCTGCGTCAATGTAAGAAATAACTATAAACAATACCCAGAAAAACAAAGACATCAAGCAGATGTTTCTTAAAAGGAGAACTAAGATTTTTTTTTTACATTTTTTCCAATTACATGGGGTTTTTTTTTAATTGTGATACCTCAGGCAAGAGGGAAAACATTTGAGTTTTAGGGTAGATATAGATTAGAAGTTTGAATTATAGGGTATACTTAGGTGAGATATTAGGAAGAAATTTTTCCCTGTGAGGGTGGTGGGGCCCTGGCAGAGATTGCCCAGAGAAGCTGTGGCTGCCCCATCCCTGGCAGTGTTCAAGTCCAGGTTGGACAGGGCTTTGAGCAACATGGTCTAGTGAGAGGTGGCCTTGCCTGTGGCACAGGGGATGGAACTCGATGATCTTTAAGGTCTCTTCCAAACAAAACCATTCTGTGGTTCTGTGGTTCATATTTTCGGCAGGCTTTTGTGTGTTTGTGTGGCATTCTGTGTTCAGTTTTGATCAGCACTCCAGAAGCATGCTGGCCTCTAACAGCATCAGCCCTTCTTATGCCACCACTTCAGGATTACTGTTTTTGGAGGACTAGGACCCAGGAACATGTCCTTTCATGTCTTGAATATCTCAAAGGATGGAGACTTCACAGCCTCTCTTGGCAACCTGTTTGGTGTTCAATCACCCTTAGAGTAAAAGCATATTTTTTCTTAGGTTTGAAATGCACTGGTGAGGATTTCCATTGTAAACATTTTTTGCCTTATTTTTTAAAACTTTAAGCAGGCTAATAGGATTTCACCCCAATTTTTAAAGAAATGCAGCCAGTGTGAAAAGCAGATTGGGCACATTTTAGAGTTGCTAAAAATGGTAGCACTCTCTTTTACCTCTAGGGAATACATTAACTTTTACAGAGAATATATAGGCTATGTCTTCTGTAGTAGGACAATCTTGGGTACGGACTCCACAGAACTGATTTCTCTAGAATATAGTTATATAATGTGCAAGCATCAACAGGACATTTCTAGTGTATTGGTTGCTTTTGCTGTTTTATTAGAGAGGAGAAGGTTTCTCCTGATTTCTTCCATGAGATTAATAACTGTCTGGATATGCCCATATCTCTCCTGTGACTTCAGAGACACTCCAGTGACACTCTTTGATGATGTGCCTAGTTCTAACTTCCAGATTGTTAAAGTTAAGCCACCTTAATTCGACATGTCAGATCATTTTTATTGGATTACACTCCTTTGGCACGTGATGCAGAGGGCATCACCTTTTAAATTAACCTCCACAACTGGAGATTAATATGGAAGTGCTAATATATGAAAATAATAGCTTCCAGTGTGCTAACCTGCTGATAGCCATCTGAATGTTCGAAATAAGGAGACTATTAAAGCAGGAAAACCTCAGTGGTGAGCTCTTTACAGTATATCCTTCCATCCCGAGTGGAAGCTGTAAATACAAAATAAAAACACCACAGCATCCAATCCCATAAATCAAAAACTTACCTATGGCAGAAGCATTTCATAGGGAAATCCCTCGCCTGTCATGAATTATTTTCTCATCTGAATGCTGAAAGTGTGGGAGAAAAGAGCAATCATCACAGTAGGAGCGACATTGATAATTACAGCCAAACATCACTTGACAAATTCTTTGGTTGATGCATGTGTTACTCTGCTAGTGAACACAGTCTGCCAAGTAAATACAAACAGGGTAATTTAAGTAGCAGTAATGAATGTTTTGTAGGCTGTTACAGAGATGTCTCATAGTAACAGCAGATATGTCTCATAATAACATTTTAAATATTATCTCCATCACTATACATAAATCTGTGTCAGTGTGTCATCACTATACATAAATCTGTGTCTATTTGAGTCAAACCGGCTGTGAAGTCCCCCGAATACTCCAATTAAAACTTCAGTACTCGCTGGTTCAGATACACACTTACGTTTAAATATTTCTAAAGTAAACTGGTGATTAAAGAAGTGAGTTTAGCTCCTTTCTATGGAAAAAGCCACCAACCTGTTACTACTGTTGGTATGTAGGCAGCACTGCAAGAGCAGGAGATAGATGATGGTGGCCAGTCACTTTGTAGTCCAGCTTGCATATTTTCATATGAGTCTTAGACATTCCACAGATTCTGTATCAAAGCAAATAGAATGGTGGTAATTAGTTATTGCTATTATTCTTGTTATTATTATATTTCTAGAACAATTTCCAGAAAAATAAGATTAGTACCAAATAGGGCGTAAATTGTAGGATTTGTAAGTTTGCACGAGCATACATTTCCAGTATTATCCAGTGTTGCAAACAGCAAGTTAGGATTATTGCTATTATGGAAGGAATCATAGAATCCTACAATAGAATAGTTAGGGTTGGAAAGGACCTTAAGTTCATCAAGTTCCTATACCCCTGCCATGGGCAGGAAGGAAGAAAGCCTTGTCCTTGTAAAGTACCAATATTTACAGTGAAGATTGCTTTTCCTATGCAAACCAAGTGTTTAGAGGTACGGACTCTTGATCTTGGTTAAATCTTTTAGATGCTGGTTGTAATTACCACAGGCAACCAGTTTTCAGTGGTATAAAACATAGCAGTTAAACATCTAGCATGATTCTACTTACCTCTGTCTCTGAGTTCTCCATAGCTAAGAAAGCTTGGTTTGCAACTAATATTTTTAAGGAGGGACGTAATGTTGCAGACTCTGACGACCACTTCACTTTTAAGCTGAGCAAGTATTTGTATTGGGAAGGAGCTGTGGGAAATCTGTCTTGGCATATATGCCACTGCACCGAACAGAAAGGCAAGCATTAAGAAAAAGCCACTCAGCCCACATATTTCTGTTGTGACCTGCACAAATACAGACCTCTAAAAAGTAAAATCATCCAGCAAACTGAAATTCCAGCAGTTTTTATTCTCTGCTTGCTGGAGGAACAGCAGGAAGATTAAGGGATCATCTTTCTTGGCTCTAACCAAGCTCAAACATCTCATGACATTTTGTTCTCCTGAGATTTTCTGCCAGCAAAACCTTCCTCCCAACACGAGCCAGGGTCAGCTGAGCAGAGCAGCAATAACCCTCTGAGGTGCACAGGTTTCTCAGACATTTTGAAGTCAGCTGTGGGAATTTAGTCCCTCAATCATCCATTAATTTCCTTTTATGGCTAATATAACTTTCTATGTGTCATGCGCACAGCAGCCTTGCCTTTCTGCAGTGACAGCTAAAGCCGTTCACATTGTCTTATAGCAGCATGCTGTATTACTCATAGGAGTGGACTTTCTGGTTTTGTATTTGGTTGTGATGGAGTATTTTTCTTTATTTATAATGTTAGATAAGTTCAGCCAAACTGCTTTAATTTGGTTTTCTGCTGTTGTCAATTGGTGTGAACTGAAGCTTGGCTGCCAAGAAACCTTTTTTGCTCTGCTGTGAACAATCTGAGCAGTATGACTCAAGGTTGCATACTGATAATAGTTTCCATAAAAACATGTATGTTTAGCTACAAATCAAGCATCAGTAAATGTAGTTCCCAGCAATTTCAGCTAATTCAAGTTCAATCATTCAAGGATTTCACAAAATTAATGTTTCTTGGAGAATGAAAGGTAATTTGTTGGTAAGAGTTATCTAATATAACGTAATGACTAAGTTTTTTAAGAAGATTGCGCTGGGGCAAATCACTGCTCATTTGTTTCAGAGAAAGGGAGATAAAGTAGCAGAGTTGCTAATTTAGTGCTGTTTTGAAAACTTCAGATGTAAACTAAAGCTATGCAGAATCCGTGACTGGGGTGACAAACCAACAGTTTATGTCTATTAATATGGTATGAGAAGGGCAGCAAGAAAACATGGAGCACCATTCATCCTGATATCTGATGTTGCCAGATGAACCCATTATTTGGAGATAAAATTTTATTTCCAATTTTCTATTAATAACATTCAATTCCAACTGTGATCTTAGCATCTTTCTGTTTCTAACATACATAAGGGCTTATAGCAGGTCTACTTCCTAAGTCATCCATCCTTCAAATTTACCCTTCTGCAAACAGGTAGCACGGAACTGCAGACTGATTTCTTATTCAAACCCAATTTTCAGTTTTTCGCATTGTACAGGTACTGGACCTAAACCTGAGTTGTCATTCCCATGGTTAAGGGATCTGTAGGCACTGTGGAGGTTTGACTTTCATTCTGTTTCAGCCTATTGAGGTGTTAAGTAGATGAACTTCAGTATTAAGGAATTATGGATGTCGAGGAGTTTGTGAGTGGGTCCTCAGGCAAGCATGGGGTGTGATGGAACTGCTGGCAGTTTTTAGGACAGTACGCTTCACCTTCCTTTGTCATAGTCTTAAATTTCTTTAACATATCTCCTCCATAGAAAAGGGTTTATGTGCAGAAGACTCATTTTTTTTCCTTGGTTGTGTCTCTCAATCTAATGATGTCAAACCTCTTCTCACAAACTTGCTGTGCTTATTTTTTCTGCTATTTAAAAGTAAAATTGGCATTTCTAAGAAGAATTCAAGTGCTGTCTGTTTCTTGTGTGTACACAGACATCTTAAACTGAAGAACAGTACTATTTATTGAGTAGAAGGGTAATACATTATGTTAAGTATTCTAGAGCAACACTAAAATGAAATTTTAAATGCTGAGCAAGGTCCAGTGCGGACCTCTGCTTATGGTGAATTCATCCCTTCTGTAGCTTTTGTTGGATTCCTGTACAAAGGCATTACCCTGGAGTTTTGCTACCCAGTCATCCCCATCCTTACAATATCTGCACTAATAATCTAGGTTTGATGCTTAATTCCAGCATCTTGTTCCCCAAGCTGCAGGTACTAGTGATGGAGTATACACATCAGGGATGGGAGAGGCTAGTGTTTCTCACTAAAAGTTTTGCTTTGGGTTGACATGGAGCCACAAAATTTGCTCATAAAGGAACTTTCCACTTTTGCTGGCTTTCTCATTGTAGGAGCTATGATCAAGGTCATAAAGGTGACGGAAAAATGGCAAATTTAATATAATCTAAATATTGATAAGTTAGAATTTCTTCTTTGTGCTAATTTTGTTTTTGCTCTGTCTTCCAGCTCCAGTAAATCCACATTTACGTAAGTATTTATCTTTTTAGTTTTTATGTGTATGAAGAACTGTCCTTGCATCTCTTGTTCCCCACAGTTAAAAAATAAATTATAAGTATTTTACTTTCAGTCACAGCCCCTAAATTGCAGGGACCACCTTAGTTTTTGTGTGTGAGCTCGGCTGTTGGTTGAAGATGCCTTTTACATTGCTCTTCCAAGGTGCTAATAGATGGAGGATGGAAAAATTATATAGCTCCAACTCATCATTCTTTCTCACTTCCCCAAACAGTTAATCTAAACAGTTCAGCCTAGAGAAGAGAAGGCTCTGGGGAGACCTTAGAGCAGCCTTCCAGTACCTAAAGGTGCCAACAAGAAAGCTGGAGAGGAACTTTTGACAAGGACCATTAGTGACAGGACAAGGGGGAACTGTTTTAAGCTGAAAGAGGGGAGATTTAGGTGAGATATTAGGAAAAAATCTGAGGGTAGTGAGACATTGGAACAGGTTTCCCAGAGAAGTTGTGGCTGCTCCATCCCTGGCAGTGTTCAAGGCCAGGTTGGATGGGGGTTTGAACAACCTGGTCTAGTGGAAGAGGTGTCCCTGCTCATGGTAGGGGGTTGGAGCTAGATGAGCTTTTAAGGTCCCTTCCAACCTAAACCATCCTGTGATTCTGTGATTCTGTAAAAGAAAATACTAACATTCTACAAGTAACCTCCATTTGTGGGCACTGCAGCTCAGGATGTACAGATGATGCCATGGTTTAGTCATGGGAGTAGCTAAACGCCTGAAAGACCTATTGTGTAGGAACTGTGTCTGCACCTCAATGGATATGGTAGAAATATTGAAGGAAATGTCAGTTTATGAGATTTTCTGACTTCATTTATTTTTGCATAAGAATTACATTTGTAGTTCTTAAGTTATGCTGCTTTAGAGGGTAGTCAGAAGTTCATCTGCAGCTTTAAAACAAAAAGAAGACTTTTTTCATGCAGTACATGTGGGAATCATGGACCTTATTTGCACAGAGAAATGTGGAGACCAGAAGTGTAACTTGGGTGTGAAAGTGTTCAGACAAATTCACGGGAGGCAGCTCCATGGGCATGATTGAAATTGCAAACAGACTGTTTTCGCTAATGTGCTGATGCTCAGGCACAGGGATGTGGGTAGATGTAGAAGAGGGTAGATTCAGATTAGATACTAGCAAGAAATTCTTCACTATGAGTGTGGTGAGGCACTGGCACAGGTTGCCCAGAGAAGCTGTGGCTGCCCCTTCCCTGGCACTGTTCAAGGCCAGGTTGAATGGGGCTTGGAACAACCTGGTCTAGTGGAAGTTGTCCCTGCTCATGGCAGGGGACGGTTGGAACTAGATGGTCTTTAAGGTCCCTTTCAACCCAAATCATTCTATAGATCTTATGCAGGGCAGAAGTGACTTCTTTAATGGTTTTGCTCTAACACTTTTACATGGGCACCAAATTACCACAAATTTCACAAACAGGAGGCTGGGTCCTACATTTTTTCATGTCCCAGTAAAACTACCCTATTCCTAAGAGTCAACACATCCATCTACTTCATCTTTTTCTTCTACACCACAGCAAATGCTTGTTTTTCTGTCACAACATACTCTGACTTTCCTCTTGCTTTTAATAACACATGCTAAAAATATTCCTGTGCAGGGAATGGGGTTCAGTCTGCCGTTATTGTCGATGTCACACAGCCATAAGCAGGCAGAAAAACAGTGCTGGCGTGTATCAGCAGCCCCTTTCACCAACTGTCACACATGATGGCTAAGCCTTTCTGTAAATCTCATTTGCAGAAGATCTTGTACAATGCATTAATAATTAATCAGAAGTTAGTTCAAAGCTCACAGGAGCTGAAGGAACCACTCCCATTGATTCAAATGAGCAGTACATGAGACCCTTGCTAATTAATATATTAAATATATGCTTTGTGACATTAAGAATAAAATGCATTGCAATCCCAAGTACTTCACAGTGTAGCCCTCTATGATTTTAAGATCTGAAACTGTCTCATTTTCAAAATGTCTCTGTAGCTCTACTAGGCACATGGTAGAGTGCAGGTGGCATCCAAATGGCCCTTGCAATAGAGAGTGTATTAGGGATCAAGGGCATCTCCACCAACCTGTCCACTGTTTCCGTCATATGCATTCTAGGTCTGCCTCTCTCCACACTGGTGGTGGTGGTAAGGTTGCCCACCAGAACTATAGGGTGCCCAGTATAACTTCTTTCAGATGACCAAAGAGATGGTAAAATTTTGGTTTGCTTTTTTCCCCCAACAATTCCTTGAGTGCAATCCATTGACGGGGAATAAACCTTGATCGGCAAATGGGTTCAAACCTGTAAACTGAAGAAGATAAATTCTGTCTCCCATAACAAATTCAGTCTTATTGTTGCCCGTGCTTTCTACAAAAGTTCTAGTGTTTTTTTGTAAACTGTTGGGTTCAGTTTCAATTTTATTTACACCTTCGTGAATAAAGAGCTGTTTTCAACTGGGGACAAAGTACCTGTTTGCAAATGGAAATCTTATTCTTCCTACCTCTATTCTGGAATAATCACATTACATAAATCCTTCCTTTTTGTGAAATTTCTACAATACTTAAGCAAGTAGAATCAAATGACTTAAACACTGAGAGATGTAGCCTCAGATCTACATTTTGTTTTGTAACATATAATATAAACCATTTAATGTAAACCATAGAGATTTCATATAAGTTAGTGCAACTATATGTTACACCTGAATAATACAAGAAATTAGATGTTAGTTATATTCAACTCGAACTTTGTGGAAATAGATGGCAAAAATTCGTACTACAATGAAGAGTGTTTCACCTTGAGAATAGTTTCAGATTTTGCCCTAATTGGGGAAAGAAATTATTAGTAACTTGAATCCACCTCCACAGCTGGCGTCTGTTTTAACAAAAATTAACCACTATCTTTAATATTAATTAGCACCATTGTTAGTGCTTTCAACAAACCATAGTGGTCTGAGCGCTGCCACAAGCTGGAGCACCTGTGTGTACTTGGGCAAGGGCTGGCTGTTCCTCCTGCACTCAGCGTGCTCCATTTCTGAACAGGTCAGGGCCATCCAGATCTATTTAAATTCTCCTACTTCTTGCATAAAAAATGTACTGAGCTAATCCTGGGGAACTATTTCTGATTTTTATTCTTCTGCCATTTTTTAAGAAGTGTTCAGTGCCAAAAATATTTAACACTAACCTTTTCCAATGTATAACAAATAGAGAAGTCCTATGCAATACCAGTGTTTTCATATTAAATAAATGACAAACTTTTACTTTGCTTTTTTTCATCTGGCCTGAATTCTTTTTTTTTTTTTTTTTTTTTTTACTTGAAGAAAACTTTTGTTCTGCTGATGTGGAATTTCTTAATGAAGCTCGGAGGGCATGGTGTGACATGCAAATGCAGTGTTTAAGGTACTGGAGGGGCAGTGTTAGAAACTGCTGAATGGCTGAAAATGCTTTGTGTTAGTTCACTTTGATGCAGGACTGGGTCTGGTAGTCAGAACTTTTCTTCTTAAGTTACTGGTTTGCCTGATAATTTGATCACACTGTGTAGAAGAAGCTGCACCATTTTTACTTATAGGAAGGACTTGCATAAGTGGAGGTGGAAGCCAGATACACAAAATACAGTGTAAACCAAGTGAATTTGGAGCTCAAGTCATGTAAAAGGTATTGAAGGTGAGAGGCACAGCTGGCATTTTGTTCAGAGTACTTTATTCGAGTCCTTGTATCTTTCAAGAGCTTGGCCTGGGTCTTTGCATTCCCTTCCTGATCTTTGGGATAGAGATGAAGATGTCAGTCTGCTTCTCTCTCGAAGCATTTTGGATGTTATCTGCCCATGTGTATTCCTTATGGCCTTGTCTTTTGATTTGCTTGTCTCTCAGGAAGAACCACAGTCAGGCCTCTACTTGCATTTCTTCTCTGCAGTTAAGGTGATGGTGCTTGCACACGGAATGATTTAGACAATATTGCCAATTTTTCATCATTCAAAATCCAGGATTCAGAAGACCTTGCTTCCAGAACCAAACCAAAGTGCAGGGTCCTGAAACTGGCATCCCATCATGCCATTGGTTGTCAGTTATGTTTGCCAGTTAAGGAACTGTGCTTATGGAAATGAATTTTTCTGGAGGATCTAATAAAGTTGATGGATTTATTGAGAAAACAGGTCAATTTGCCTGAGGTGCTAGTAGCCAAGGAAGTTTCTGTGGATTGCAGTTTTGTGTTAAATGGGCTTTATAGAACTGTTTTATGCTGACTGTTGTGGAGAGGGTTGTTTGTGTTGTACTTTGGACAGGCAGAAGCAGAATGAGGAAGACTTGGAAATCACTCCTACTGCACCTTGTGGTTTGGAATGAATTTTTCAAGCCTGCTTTTTGAGTCTGCAGTATTACCTGATTTTAAATAAGCTTCAGACCAGCATCCTTGCTAAGCAGTACATATCCAAGCTAAGCTCCAGGTCCCTCTGTTTTCACTGATTTACAGTGAAGCTCCAGTGGCTTAAGTGGATTTATAGTTCACCAAACCCCCAAAACTGCAAACGTTTATATACCTTCTCAATTTAGCTATGATGCCTGCTGTTCCTCATAACAATGACTATAAATTGCACCCCTGTAAAGAAGGCTGTAGCTGACACAGTATGCAGAGAGCTACGTTCTCCCTAGAGAAGAGAGATTTGCTTGTTTTCTCAGATAAATCAATTGACTTTGCTGGAAGAGTAAACTCAGCAGGAACTGATGGTGTGCATAAAATTAAGCTTTTGCACACTTTACTACATGAAGCCTTATTCTGTTCTGATGAAAACTGAGTCTTGAAGTTTTGATTTATTTTGGTTCCTAAATCTCTGGCAGTAGGACATTCTCATCCCATTATAACCCAGAGGGTAGGATCTCTGGACTAGTGTGTCTCACAGACCTCTATTTCACAAAGGAGAGGATCTGATTAATTCTCTCTGGGGTTCTTGGCATTTTTATTCTTTAGAACCAAGCTTTTACCACTTGACCTCAACTACATAATGGTTACCTTGGTGGAAGTCTAGGAGATGTCTTCAAGACTTACACAGTCACCTGTCCTGTCCTGCCCAGATAGGTTCAGATAAAGCTAAACCTTCCTCCCAGTTAGTTTAGGAGATGTCATTTCGAGATAATGTTTTTCTTTTGAAAAGTTGCTCTCTTCTTTTCCCTAATGTTCTTATCCCTAAACCAAAATCACCCACTTCTCACTTTTATTTCCCACAGTTCATGTTTTAAGGAGATGCTGCCTTTTCTTCTCAGTTTTTTTAGAAATGCTAGATGAGTAAGAAGAGACAGAGTCTCTAAGGGCAATTGTATACATCTGAATACTTAAGGAAGAGTTATACAATAGATTTGAATATAATTTTAAGTAACACCAACACAGATTAATGACCATGATTTCTTCTTCATTGAGGTTACTGCAAAAGAAAACACTAAACACTAGAAACTGATGTAAAATAAATGTATATTTTCCAGTGCCGTTAATAACCATCATTGTACAATTTGTTTATTATAATTGACAAGAACTTTGACAAACAAGCGTAGGAAGAATAACCTCAGCCACTAAGTTTCTGCTTATTTGCTGCATTGGCAGGAGAGTTCCACTGTGGGTTTGAGGATGGTAACATTTGCCTTTTCACTCAAGATGACACAGACAATTTTGACTGGACAAAACAAAGCACTGCCACTAGAGACACAAAATACACTCCGAACACTGGCCCAAATGCAGATCGGACTGGCTCCAAGGAAGGTAAGCTCCAGCCGTGTCCTGGGTCCCTGGCACTGGTGTGTCTGCTCCACCAGGGTGAGGGATCTGTCCAGGACAGCCCATTCAGCCAGCTACATCGGCTTTCCTGATTATACCAAGAATAAGTGTACTTCAAGGACTTCTAAAAGAAATTGTCATGTGGCTTGTCCCAAAGCATGACCCACTAATGGTGCAATTAACCATCTTGTATTGCTCCTATTGTGCCATTTTTGAAGCAATTGCTTTCACATTATAGTCTAGCGGGGAAATATTATGGCACATCTTGACATATTCTTCTGGTTTATGTCATTTCAATTCTAACTTGGACTCTGTCAGACTGTCACAATGAGGTGTTTTGTTTGGTTTTTTTTGCCCCGTTTTTACTTTGGATGTTCCTAAAATGTGTAATTTTCAATTCTGCTACCCCAGTTAACAGAAGCGTGCCATCTTGACTGCAGTGTATATTTGCATTTGAAAAGTCATACATATTGTACTGAATTTATCAAGTACTGCAGTAACTTATGCTATTTTATTGTATGTCTCCTGCTTGCACTACCAAAGGGGAAAAAAAAAATCATACTGCATTGAATTTGCTTGGTTGAATCGAGTAAATCCTCTCTGTTGTTGGCACAGTCTAGGATCAGAATAAATGAAATGCCTTCTTTTGTGAAAATGAGCTTTTGATCATCTGGTCGACATAGACAGTTTAAAATGTTCTGTGAAATGTTTCCATCAAGATATTTTCCTTTTATTTTACCAGTCATCCCCACTCAGTGTTTATAGGAACAAACTGAAAGCTTGAGACTGAAGTCTGAACCCCATCATAGATATTTTCTTCTTTTCTTGTGCATATACAATGTTACATAAATTTTAAGTTATTTACAAGTATTGACCTGCTAGCCCTGATTATGCTCTTGGTATAAAACATGTCTTTGAAGTAGTTGTGGAAATCACATGGACTTAATGCAGAAGAAATACGTCCCAGAAATCATGGTGATGTCAGATGCATGTGAAAAATGAATCAAGATGCTTGATAGTCCTGGTGTCTTCCTGCATGTATATGTGTTGGGTTTTGAAGACTGCAACCTAATGATTTCCATTTGGACTTCCCCTAGGTTTCTACATGTACATTGAGACATCACGCCCCAGGCTGGAAGGAGAAAAGGCCAGACTTGTTAGTCCTGTTTTCAGTGTCGCTCCAAAAAATCCTTACGGAGCTACGAACACAGCCTATTGTTTTAGCTTCTACTATCACATGTATGGACAGCACATAGGTGAGAGAAAGCCAATGACCTTGTCTTTTCACTTTGGGAGAAATAGCAAGAGAAATGTCCACTTGTGTGAATGAAAAGCATGGGAGGACTGCCAACACCTGCAAGGGCCAGTTGCAACCAAAGCTAGCAAGATGGGTGCTTGACAGCATCAAATTGCTGTAAAACTGTTTCCCGCTAATCAGCACACTGGCAGAAGCCCTCTTACACCTAAGAGGCATTTCACGCATGCGTGAGGTTTTGAATAGATGTTGCAGGTGGAGCGATGGACTTCAGTCATGAGAGAGAAGTAGCAATATGTTTATTGATATAAAATAGTGACTTAGCAAAGTTTCTTAGTAAATGCAACAGTGGTTTAATAAGATTCAATGGCAAGGTGCACTTGAGTATTTACTGCATAGAGGATGGGATCAGACAACTGGTGGGGAGACCCTCCTGTTGGGTTATGAGGTTCAGAAAGGATGTCCTTGTGTTCTGAAATCCTTCTCAGAGAGGAGCTGAGGTGTGGCTGGATCCAGACTTAGTCCTACTTGTGATCAACAGTTTATGTCTAAAGGATTATAGTTGCACAATCAGTCCTTTATATCACTTAGCTAACATCAAAGTTCAGCATGCTGCCAATCACTTACCAAGGATCTGTTGTGGCCAAGAATCTCTCAGTCTCTAGGAGTAACCTCGAGAGGCATTCCTGTGCCGGGGGGATCCTGGTGTACAGCCACTGCCATGCAGGAGATCACCATGAGCTCTGGGGTGCCCATGGGTAATGGAGTGAGATCAGTGACCCACAGTCATATTTGCATACCAATTAGATACGTTAGTTTCTTCCACACTTGTCTTGAGTTGGACCTTGACCAGCACTATAGTGGAGGGTGCATGTTGCTCAAATTAGCCCTTGGCTATTGTGTTGGTCTGTGTCTTCCCCGGATCCACTTTGTTTGGGTCAACCAGGTGCAACCATTATGACCAGACACATCCATTATGACTGCCACTGGTACTTATCACTTTACAGGAAATAAAGGTCAGACTGTGGGAGAGCACACTGCCACAGCAGGGGAATTTATAGTGTGAAAAGGGAAAAGGTGATATTTGCAAGGACTTTGCCTGATACTAACACTGTTTTGAATCACTAGGTTCAGGATTGAGCAATTAGCAGCAGCACTACTCATGTGCTGGCAACTGAGGCAGCACAGTCTGTGTGCAATGCAGCAGCACACAGTTCCTTTGTAAAAGTCATGAACAATTTGCTCACAAGTTGTAGGAGTATATACTTACAAGATATATCTGCACATTTATTAACCATAGCTCTTTCAACACAAACATTTAATTGTGTTGTGTGAAAAAAAGGTGTGGGAATATACAGAAGTATAAATGATAGCCAATTTTTTATAAATCCTGTAAATCCTCATGGGGTGCTCAGTTCTTACCAGTGTGTCAGGAGGTTTTCCAGTGACAAGCTGGCCTGACTAGATGTATTTTTATATATATTTCAAGGGCAAGCACATCCTCAGAGTGCATCCTGGTGTTTGCTTCAGAAAACCTTTGCCTGCCCCCAGGAGGAGTTCAGATTTTAAAGAGAACAGACAAGTTCACTTAGGTTTTTGTTAGTTGTGTCTGCACTGTGCACACATGAATTCAGCCCCAGGTCTAAATTCTCCTGGCTCTGTGTTCCAGAGGGAGCTTGGCTGTTTAGTGGAAGGAAGTGATTCAGCCATGCCACGCTTAGTGCAAAAAATATAAACTGCCCTATAAGGTCATATACCACACTATTTCTGGTATAGGACAGTGAAGAGTAAAGTTACAAATATAATGGGTCAAAGAGTTTTTTCTGGAATACCTTAGGATGGGGGTAAAGTATAAGAAAAACAGCCACTGAAGCTGACATCAGTCCACAAGACAGTGACCTCTCATTGTGGAATTCTGATGGTTTTTTTACTGGGCTACCTTTTCATCAAGGATCTGTGTCCTTAGCTTTTTTGCCGAGATCACTGTTTCCTGTTTATGTGTAATTTCTTGAATTGACACATATGTTGGCTGACGAAGGAGCTGACACACAAGTGAAGATGGTGACAATGATTAGTGAGCATAGGTTACATTGGATTTGTTCATGGCAATGTGGACACCTAGTTGTTGAAAACCAGAATTGCTCAGTATCACTTTTGTTCCATAATGTTAAAAAATATAGTTACCATCATTTTAGCTAATGTTCAAAATGGTCTACTTTTGAATAGCTTTATATGAAATTACATATTATTCTGTTTTTGAAGAGCAAACTGGCAGAAAAATAGTAAATTAATATCATCAGCCATGTGTTTGAATGAACGCTTATACATATCTACTAAATTCAAAATTATAATTCCTCAGAGTAACAAAATGTTATGAAACACATGAGAATGCAACATGCATATAAGAAATAAATTATGAAATCAGCAAATATATGCCATTTGATTTCCCAGGTGTGAAGTCTTGTCACTGAAATTGTTCACATAAAGATAATGAAGAAAAAAGAAAAACCTAATGAGTGATGAAATTCTAAGACTTCAGTGATTTAAGCACATGATTATTGTATGAGTAGTTGTATTGATGAGGTAACTGCTTGAATGAGTTTTCGAAGGTCTGTGGTCTTAAAAATTGCTTTGGGTTAGGAAAGGGGTTATTATAAGACAATGATTTGCCCAGACAATGAAACCTTATCATGTCTTTCAAGTGATGTGTCCTTCTGGTAAGGATGGCTACCAGCCTCCTGGTCTGTGTTGGGCATAGTGTGGCTGGCAGGTAAAAGGAGATGATCTTGCTCCTCTGCTCAGCACCAGAGAGACACATCTGTGTGCTGGGCCAGTACTTGGCCCCCTAGTACAGGAGAGACATGGGATTAATGAAGAGAGTCAGGGGGATCTAATCAACATTAAATGAATACATGAAGGGAGAATGTAAAGAAGATCAGAGATGCTCAGGGACAGGACAAGAGGCAAAGGGGCACAAATTGAAATAGAGGCAAATCTATTAAACGTAAGAATTTTTTTTTCTTTTTTTTTTTTTTTTTTATTAAAGGTTGTCAAAAACTGGCACAGGTTACCCAGAGAGGTTGTGGAGTCTCTGTCCTTCGAGACAGCCAAAATCTGACTGCAGATGATCTTGGGCAACCTGTTTTAACCTGATATGCTTTGAGCAGGGTTTGGATGGGATGATCTCTAGAGGTACCCCCAACCTCAACAATTCTGTGTGGAATAGTAGGTTTAGATTAGATATTAGGAATAAATTCTTCCCTGTGAGGGTGGTGAGGCCCTGGCACAGGTTGTCCAGAGAAGCTGTGGCTGCCCCATCCCTGGCAGTGTTCAAGTCCAGGTTGGACAGGGCTTTGAGCAACCCGCTCTAGTGGAAGGTGTCCCTGCCCATGGCACAGGGGATGGAACTGAATGAGCTTTAAGGTCCCTTCCAAACAAAACCATTCTATGATTCTTTGATTATTTCTTTTTTCCAGAAAAGCATTTTGTTTTGTTACATTTTTTTAATTACATTAATCCCTCATGGATAATTCCAAATCTTATTATTAAAACAGACTGGTTATTCACAAGCTGCTACAAGCCTCGACCCTTCACAGCTGTTCTGGCATTTGCAGCCAACATATATAAGGTGCTTCTTATCCCCATTCAGGAATGAGCACTGCCAGTCAGGGCAGCTATTGGCTGTAATTAGTACTGCCAGCTCATTGACTTCTTCCCAAGAGCAGGATGGGAGCTACTAACTGAGACTTCATCTGTGATCTCTGTGTTGTAGGATCTCTCTTTTGAACAATGGTGAACTGCTGATCCTTGACCTGACTTTATTGCAAACTGGAATTGTCTTTCAGGGCAATTTGGCTTTAATAAATTCTGGCCTTTTCCTTCCTTGGACCTGGGGATAGCATATTCAGAGATGAATGGCCATTAACCTTTGATTTTTCATCCAAAGTGCTATAGCACTGTGAAGCAGACTTTGGTGCATTTCCACTGGATTGCTTAATTCTCCCTAGTTATCCGTATCCTTAAGTTTTCCAAGTAGTATTAGAGTTATAATTCCCACATCTTAGGGCAAAGTACTTTGTTTTCAGAACAATTCTGACGCTTATCAAAATGTTTCTGCATTTCTGACATGGTTTTGAAGGATCCTTAATGAAATGAAGTATTGTCCTGGAATGGTGCTCTGTTGCTGGTGTGGACTGGTCTTGGAGGCTTAGGGGAAAAGATACTTCATCCTCCATTCTTAAAAATTAGTTAACTCGGTGACATCATTTCAAGAGTATGGCTGTTGCAATATACAGAAAAAAAAAAAAAAAAAAGCCAGCTTACCAGTTCAGCCAGCTCAGCTTCTGTGACTGCTGTTCAGGTCTTCAGTGTCTCTGGAGAAGAGGCTGAAAATTTCTGTAGTGATAAGGAGAGGTACTTGGAAATCAATGCAGAGAGCAGAACACAGATCTGAGATTAGCACTTGCACCTCAGCACAGCTCTGATGAGATAAACAAGGACCTACATCCCATGCCACAGCAATTAGATTCAGGAAGATAAAGCATTTCTTTACCTGAAATAGATGTCTCTTACTTACAAGTCAGATTGTAATTCTTGACAGATCACACAGAGCTAACTCTGAGAGTACTGGCTGCCAGAGAAACTGTATGTGCTTTGTTTCACACCCTTCAAAAGAAGGTAGATTATCGCTGAAGCATAAGAGAAATAGAACTTCCCATTACTTGATTTGCAGAAAACAATAGGCCATTGTTGGGGAAGAAGAAAATGAAGAGTCACTGCCCTTAATGTGTCTCTACATTGAGACAGAAAGAGGTTGTAGTTCCATTATAGCTGTCACTATCTTTTAAAGCAATCTGTAATTCCAATTTTTCCATCTACACCCCAAAATGGGGTGTTCCTAATTGATGCTTCAAGAGCAATACCTTTTCTTGTCATTAGAGAGCCATCACAAAACAAAAAGGGGAAGCAGAACATGCTGTCAGCACACTGTGAAAGCTGTTTGTTCTTGCACAGTGATGAGCTTCAAAATACCACCCTAGTGTTGCAGCTGGTGACGTCTCTGGAATACTCGGGACCCTCTTGGCATGATGCTGTCAGAAAGTAAACTTTATTCCTTAATTCACAGTTGTTCCTCCTGCCCACTGTTTTTTAATCCTGCTCAAGAGTCAATTCATTACCCATTTGTATGGAGTTTGGAGTAGTTTGAAACCTTTAGATGAATTCTTGCTGGACATGCCTCAGAATGAACCCTATAGCCAACCTGGCCTCCCACACAGTATCAGCTTTGCAAAGGCCACGTAACTTCCAGAATGTTACTGGCAGAATTTCAAGGGTAAGCATGGGTTGCAGGTGCCATTAGCTAGGCTGGTGTGTGTGCGTATCTAGCAATGAGGTTCAGGCAGTTATATCCATACTAACTAACGTGGTGGGCAACAACTGACCATAGCTAGTACAGTGATGGCTGTTCTGTATTTTAAATAAGACAGCCATCATTCTGCTATTAATTTGAAGAAATTATGTGACACAGAGGGGCTGAGGATGCTGTGAACAGTCTTAAATCTCTAACTTTAGCAGTGATGGAATTGCATGCTTTTCATACCTGAATTACTCAGTTATACCAAACAGCCCTGTGGCATGGGCTATATTAGTCTGCACAAACAGGTGGAAAAATTAGCCAGCAATTCGTGTCTTTCTTGATATGGGCATTGCTTTTGTCTTTTAGAAAAATAACTATGTATATGTTATAATTTTAGGTAGCCTTGTCTGATAGCCTGCCTTTTTTTTCAAACTACAGACCCAGTAGAAAAAGTCTTGGAAGGGAGAATTGTTGTAGCTGACTAATACAAACCTTGCCCAAGAGCTTCTGTTGCTGTTTGGAAGAGGTCTGAGGCTGAGCAGCCACTTGGTGTGAGCAGCCCTCCATAGGCCTGCGACATATTACTGGGCTGGGCTGCAGGGCTGCTGCCAGAAACCCTCGCATCTCTCTGCTTGCAAACCTTGTTTCAGGTCTCTGTTTTGCCCAATAGCACATGTAGGCAGAGACAGAATGTCCCTGTTAGAAGCCAGGTTTCCTTTGTGCTATTTATGCACCCTCCCTTGCATTTTGGAAACTAAAAGGCTGCAGCAGGAGGCAGGTGGGAGACATGGTGCTGCCCAGTTGCTCTGGAGAGCATCGCTCCCCCCACTTCCATCAATGAAGATGTATGGACGCATTCTGGGCACCCTGGTGAAATAGCCGTGATGAGAATATTTGCTGCTCCATTACACAGTTAGCCTTATGTTTTTCAAGGCAGTGAGTTTTGCTACTGCTAGAAATAAGAACTTTTTATTAGCAGGAGCTGAGTCATTGTGCAGCTGTCTCAGATCTGAGAGGTTTCATTGCAGATATAATTTGTATGAGCTTCCCAGCTGGCATGCCTAACACCCTAAAAAAAACAGTAATCTTGCGTGAACCTGACTCTGAACTTTCTCGAATGAAGGCAAACGCAGTAGTTTACATAGTACAAAGAGACACCACTGCCCCGTACATCTGGAGATAACGGTGGGAACAAAATTGCCAAACTATGTGAATTACTGAACCCTGATAAATGAAGTCAATGCATTTGCTGTTTCCTGGTGCACCTAGACAGTCTGGTTCACGGTCTGAGACAGTGAGGTTAACCAGAGAGAAAGCCTGCTGAATGCAGACGGTCTGCTACCTGTTTCAGATAGTGTCTGTGCTTAAACCAGTAACATAATGGTCAGCAGTGTGGAAAGACCCAGATTTGGGAGGGGGAGAAGTTTCTCCACAATGAGGGACTTTACTGAGGTTATTTTAACTCAGAGGATTATGTTTGTCATTCAGAAATACTCCTTAGCAGGAGTAAGACCATCACATCTATCTCTGAGATGGATTTACTAGGCTTTATGGCACTCTATTAGTTAAATGATGTACAGAATAAACAAGAAGTTGGACAGTCTTCATAAACCAGAGCTAAGCATAAAGTTGCTTATGACCAAGTTGCTCATTTATCCTTGGATAAAGAGGTTATAAGTGCTTCGTTTGTATTAAAGCACAGCAAACTACTTTTTACCCATCTCACCCTCGTACAACTGCCCGGCCTGCAGCAGGGGAGTGGATTTCAGTTTCCCTCCGCTGTGGATTTACATCACCAATTCACAGTGTTTCCAAATTTAAAAGTTTCTGAATTTAGAAAACTCCTCACATGCACTCACACCTCTCAGAGACCCATGCGAAATGGGAAGGGAGGGGGTGAGCAGGGTACTCACTGCTGTACCCAGCCCATTATCTCTGCTCCACCAGAGAGCCTAACCAATTCCAGTTCTCCACCTCTCTTGTAGGAAGTTTGAATGTTTACCTGAGGTTGAAAGGCCAGACCGCGATAGAGAACCCATTGTGGTCTTCAAGTGGAAATAAGGGACAGCACTGGAACCAAGCCCGCGTTAATATAAACCCCCCAACATCATTTCAGGTAATGGCTTGTGCATTGCACACCGTGAATGGGAGTATTCGGTTTTCAGAGGGGGGGCTTGTGTATGCTGACCCTTTCCTTCTAACATACAATTTTACAGCTTCATTTGAGCTCCAAAAGCTGCTTTATGGACAGATAATTGCTTTCTTTGCTTTAAATAGGTGAGCACCATAGCGCTTAATAATGCACGCTTTAATAGCAGAACAGCAGCTGTTTTCTTGAAGACAAAATTTCTTTAAGTTTTCAGGAGATGCTGGTAGCTGATATAAAACTTCTTTTGTTTCAGATTAGCAACTGCAATACAAAATTATTCTTGTATAAAAAATATCTAGGGCCCATGGTACAGTGTATTAGCAATCACTTGAAATACATGCATTTTCTGCAGAAAAAGGAATGATCTCGGAGTCTCTGCTGAAAGGTCCCAAAGCAGCGGTGCTGCCTGCACAGAGCTACTGCTGGCAGAGCTGTGCACCTCATTCACCAGGCGCGTGGAAGTTAAAGACAGGCTTTTACACATTCCAGTTTTGGTTTGACAGTGAAAGGCTGATAGACTATTACAGGCAGTTCTCATTCACATGGTGAGCTGTTTGGAACTTGAACAGACCCAAAAAGGCAGCTGCCACAAGCAAGCCCTCATGTGTTTGAGGCTGGGAATGTCATGGAAGATGGGAGTCATAGACTGTGCCCTGCAGTGCAGTGTTCTCTAGGTTTTGTCCCTTCTCTGTAACCTTCAGATCTCCCAGGGAGATACCAGCTTTTGGGAAAAAGAATCATTGAGTGTGAGTCAAAACTCCTATCTTAGACATGCAGATTGGGATTCATTTTATGGGTAATTACTGATCCTAACCCTTCTTTTTGATTTCCATGCATGAGAGGCAACGACAAAAGAAAAGATTGGGCATATGGGATTGCAGAAGCATCGCACAGGGTGAAGTAAGAGGAAAATTGAAGGAGAGAGATATGCGAAGTATAACATTACATGATGTTTGAGTGGAACAAAGTAGAAGAACTGGAGAGGAAGAGTGCACAGAAGATAGATAAGAGTGTTCAAGTACACACAGAGCATGGGGCCAAGTACTCAGGAGCTAATGAGAGTGTGTGAGTGAAGTCAGAATAAATCCAAAATGTCTGGACAGTAAAGGAGAGAGTAATGATTTAGCATGTGAACATAACAAATGTTCTGGTAAAGGGAGAGAAGAGACACCTGGGGAAGCTGAAACCAGTGTGATCGTAGCTGTGTCTGAGAGGGATTCCTGAGATCTGGGACAGGCTTAAGCAGAAGGGAAGGACGAGGACATCAGCTCTGGGCAGAGAGATGCAAAGGATTTGGTACCAGCAATGCAGAGGAGCAGAGGAAGGTGATGGGGTACAAACCTGGGGTCATCTCTCCAGCACAGAGAGGAGGAAGTCATAGGTTTAGATGGAAGAGCAAGCGCTTACCCAGCCATCTGGGATGAAGCAACAGCAGAACAGCCGGAATCCACAACTCACAGCTTCTGGTACCCAGGCTGCTGCTTCCAACATGGAGTCTGAGCACCAGTCCTTGCACAGGGCCCTGTTGCTTTCAGAAGAGTTACAGGAGTCACTTCTGCTCCTGGCACACCTTGCTCATACTGTTCTAAAACCATATTCACTGGTGCCCCTAGCTGGTACACAAAATGGGAGCTTCTGTACGTGGCTATTTTTCCCTTTTTACATTGCTGTGTTTAAAGGCTTACGCATAAAATGAGTGTAAAGCCATGAAGCTCTGCAGAAATATGACAAATAAATGTCAGAGTGGCTGGAACCTTAAATTACTTTTTTAGGAGCTCTTGCATCAAGCAAACTATTTTCTATTCAGGAGTCTTAAGTAGGAAAGAATAGAAACCTCCCAGTTAAGTTTAAGGAGAGCGAATTGAAGTGAATCTTTGCAGTAAAACAGTACACTGACACCAAAATGAAAACATTTTATAGGTTAATTTATATGGGTAAATTGCAGCCTAGATTTTATACCTTCCCAGTCCCTGTGGTATATAACAAAGCTTCTGTCATGAACTGAGAAGACTACAGTGCTTTGAATCAGGAAAAGTATTGCATACAAGTGTTCTCAGTAAGATACTTAGGAAGTATTTTTAAAGAATAAACACACAAAAAAGAGAACATGTGGAAGTGATACATGGCATGCTCGCATCTAGAAGGGGTCAATTTTACTTCAGATTTGAGCAGGAGCACTGCCACTGCCTTTAGCTATTTTCTCCTTGACACCTTCTTGTGTCAAAGATTTTTTTTGGCAAAAGAGGGACTAGTCTGTCCTTAAGTAAGTGAGCCTGCTGGACCACTCAGATTTTCATCCCCCAGTAGTAAGCCTAAGGGGCTTATACCCTTGTCATCATGCTGTCCAGAAGGGGACAGTCCTGGAGGCTCGTTTCTACTTCAGCCTGGAGTAGGGGAGGCTCTGGGGATTCCTTATAAACAATCTTCCAGTGCCTGAAGGGATTGACAGGAAAGCTGGACAGGAACTTTTGACAAGGATGTGCAGTGACAGGACAAGGGAGAATGGCTTTAAGCTGACAGAGGGGAGACTGAGATTAGATATTAGGAATAAATTCTTCCCAGTGAGGGTAGTAAGGCACTGGCACAGGTTGCCCAGAGAAGCTGTGGCTGCCCCATCCCTGGCAGTGTTCAAGGCCAGGTTGGATGGGGCCTTCAGCAACCTGGTCTAGTGGAAGGTGTCCCTGCCTGTGGCAGGGTGGTTGAAACTGGATGAGCTTTAAGGTCCTTTCCAACAAAAGCATTCTATAAATCGATGATTATGTGATCATTAGGAGACTGGCTAAGAAGTTAAAATCTGTCTGAAATCCTGCTGAAGAAGCACAAACTAAATCCCCCGGAGACAGTTAGGATAACTCTGGAGGCACTATAGGGGTTTATTTCCATTTCCCCTGTTAAGAGAGCAAAGTGGCCTTTGCTGTACTATTCTTCAGCTAAATGCAGTATTTTTAACAACAGCTTTGTAAAGTCATGACATGCAGATAATAGGTTTTGCAGGATACTGATAGGGGATTCTGATTATCTGGCATCTCGTGCAAATAGCTGTGAGCTGCAGGCTGGGTTGTGCTCCATGCCTTGCCAGCACTCCCCTGCAGTTATTTGTTCTGAGCATGTAGCCAAGCTGGCTAATAGCAACCCATCTTTGAAGCCCATAAAACACACTGCCAAATGCAGATTTTAATTAAATGCTGGCTGTTGTATTTGTATAGAGTCCTTTTGTCTAGAAACAGTGTTTTTCAGTATCAGGAAAGATTTGACTTTAAACTCTGTTGACTGGTTACATGCCTGCTGCCAAGGAGCAGGAGAGCAACTTGTACTTTGTGGGAGAAGACACTTTCCTCTCAAGCTAAATACTGACCATCATCAAGGGCAGAGTCAAAAAATCGTGAGGGATAACTACTTGAGACACTGTTTTCAGACATGGTAAATCATAGAAAAACTTACCGTTTTCCCAATCACATTTCGCTGTTACATTAATACGCACCTTGTTACAGTAATTAACCTACAGTGTCACACTCAGTGAAATGCCGATGGAGTCTCCTGCTCCAAATGCACAGCTTTCATGTTATTAAATGCTCCAAGCACAGACCTTGCCACCTGGCTTACAACACAAAAGGCAGGCTTTAAATACATGCTTTATACTACTGCAGGGTCAGGCATCTACTAGGGATGCTCAGCTTAGCAAAAGGACAGCAGGAGGTTGGAACTGATGATCTTTAAGGTCCCTTCCAAACCAAAACATTCTATGATTCTACGATTCCATGTATCTGGCCAAGATTGAGGGACTTGCCCACTGCAGAAAGGCACAGTGGAGAATTTTGTGTGCAATGTAATGTCTGGTGGCATCGTGCATTGTTGTGATACAGTCCTTGTGTGATACTCATCCAGCTGGACTCACTGAAGGACCCCTGTGATTTACAGGGTCATTTTCCACTGCCCTGAGTGTTTACTCATAATTTATAATGAAAGGTATTCATTTCAATTGAGTAGCTCTGGTTAAACTGTAATAATGAGCAAAGAAATGTTGGAAGCTGCCAAAAGAAGAGGCTCAGTTCTGTGTCCTGCTGAAATCAGTGACAACAGAGAGAGTCTACCTGAGTGCCTCAGACAGCTCCCTGATGCAGTTGGATCATTATGAAGTATAATTTAAGTATTTTGCTCCAGATGGAATTAGGGTTTTTCTCAAATTGTCTCTACCCCCAAGAGTTAATGTCTCCATTAGTGCCACAGCACACCCTTAAAAATTCATTGAATTTCATGCATATATTGGTGCAGATTAAAGTTAAAAAACTTGTCATCTAAGTTAACCAAAAATATTTCTAAGGACTGAAAGGGAGGGAAAAGGGAAAGGAGAGATAACTGTGCAAATGTTGCTGCTTGGGAAATTTATTCCTTACATAATTCCTTCTCTCTTTAGAAAGGCTTTGAAGTTTTCTAGTGAATAAATTTCTGCAACACAGAATGAGTCCACTCTTCTGCAAAGCTAATTAAGCAGCTGTATGGCAAAACAGCATCATGTTGGGTTTGGGGAAGGAGAAAGAATAACTTTGTTTCTTTAGTACAATAGTAATCCATATCTAATAAAAAACATTACAGCAAATATTACTGACCTTGCATCAAGCCACCCATGTCGATACAGACACCATTTCTTTTCACAGCTGTAGCAGTAGGGGTTTCAAACTAGGAATATTTGAAAGAAATGATTAATAGGACCTTGAAATCACTGGCATCAGTTCAGCAGAGGTTAAAGCCTTAAAGAGGAACAGATGTCTACCCTGACCCTCTCTGTGATTAAAACACATCACAGTATCCTCTGATAAATATGAAACCATTCTTAGAGGGGATTATAGCCTCTAGACATGACGACAAGACACTAAAAGGAGAAGGAGAGAAAAAGGGCTGTCATTGCCATCAATTCCTTCCGTGGCGGAGATCTGGGAGGTTGCAATCAACTGAGGTGATCGCAGGAAGTCACTGTCAGACTGTCAGACCTCGGGGAATCTGGATCAAAGGTAGTCCCTTCCTTACCCCTTGAGATAAATACAGCTTTCCAGTATGGGTGAAGGGACACCAATCTGGCTCCTGGGAGGTTTCTCCCAATCTTTCGTTGTCCAAGAGAGATTTCAGGGTCATTTCCTGTCCTCATTCTGCCTGCAGGGAAGTTGCCACCAGATTGCAGATGAGGGACCCCAGTGTGGGAGATGGAGTAGGAGGGACTGGTTGAGGTAACTTCAAGAGCCTGAAACTTCATCTTCCTGTGGAGCTTTCCCATCTCATGTGTGTTTTCAGGCAGTCTGTGATCAAGTGATGATCAGCCCTTCAATACGTCACAGATGCTGTTCGTCAAGTTGTGCCTCTGCCATCCACGTCAGGTGGCAGGAGTTTCTAAGAGAAAACACCCCAAATAGCTTTAGAACTTTTCTTCCATTTAACCCTGCTGTTTTCTCCAGGAATATCGTACTTATATACATACACACATTACAGTTAGCATAGTGGCAAAGCTGGAGGCACCAGGTAGACAAATAGGCAGATGACTGGCAGCGCTGATATTTTTCAGCTCATTCAAAGAGTAAAAGCCTCCACAGCTCACACATCTTCTGTGCTCACCTTACTTGGTTGCATTTTTTTGCACCATAGAAAGGGTTTGTAAATTACTGCAAGCCCATCAGTGTAGTTTAATGCTGTGCAAAATGCAGCTGAACATTTTCCATTCATCACCCTCTGATCTGCTGCTGCTTTACTTTTTTGCAGCTCATATTTGAAGGGATCCGGGGCCCTGGCATCGAAGGTGATATTGCTATTGATGATGTATCAATTGTGGAAGGAGAGTGTATGAAATCAGACCAACCAGCCAACAGTAAGTGGCTTTTCTGCACATGGGAGAGAGCAAATTGCTTCTTGTCGTTATAAATTTGAGACATCTTCTGAAATGGATTTTCTCAAGAACAATATATTGTTCAGTTCAGTTGGAGAGACTTAAAGTAAAACTTTTTCCTTGGAAGCAAGCTCTGGAGTCAAAACGTCTTTGCTCAGATAGGAAAATGCTGATTTTAGCAGAGGTGGAAGTGAAAAGCTGGTGGGCATTAGGCAAGGCTGCACTCCACAGTGGTGCTGGGCTGGGCAGCCATGATTCGAGATAGGCAGGCAGATAAAGCAGCATTAAAAATAGATCAGGGGGTGCAAGCAATATGAAATTAATGAATATCAGTGCTGTGATTCCCTGTGGACCTTGTTCCATCCCTCCACACCCCGTGTCTGCATTATAATACAGGCCTTAACTACACAGCCAGGTGTTTTTTTATCCCAACATTTCCTGCCTCATTCAGTGGCTTAGCCTTTGTCTTCTAAGCCTTGTAGCAACGCTGACTGTGTCTAGGCAGCTCTTTAATTCTACCTTTTTCCCCCTTTTTGTAGATTTACGATCAGGTGCTGTTGGGACATTAGCGCATACACGACTTATCCCAGTTATCATCCTCATGTCTTTCTTAAGTCATCAGAGGTGACCTTATCCTGGCAGAGGCTACAAGAGATTCACCAGGCACTGGCATGAAGAAAGAGTCTTTGTAAAATGGACATTTAAAAACAAACTACCAAAGATTCCTCCACTGACTGACTCAAAAGTTAAATAAATACATAAATAAATAATAAAAAAATTAAAAAGCACTGGGGACATAAAAGGCATCACGGGAGTGTAACTCACTATGAACCACGCGTGAGAACGAGATCTGGCCTTGTAAGGAAGAGACCTTCAGGTGCTTTTGTGGTCAATAATGAATACAGCATCATCTGGTTGAACTCTTGGAAAAGAGCTATAGAAACCCTTGTCAAAGCACAAAGTCATGGCTGGTTTTGTTTCAAATGAATAGTTTGCTTGTTACCATGGAAACTTAATGGCCTGCCAAAAAAAAAAATAAAAAGGAAGGAGAGGAAATAAAAACAAAAACGGAGAGAGAAACACCTCACTGTAAACAGGGTATGTGAAGAGCTGGCATTCATTTTCCCTTGAAGAAGGTTTTTAGTATAGAGTTAAATAAATGTAGGCCCTTTCTACTTTGGCTGTCACATCCCCTAGAGAATAACCCTAAATCAGAGTGTTTTAAGACATTTACGTTTCATTTCTCATGGCTATGCTTGATAACTGTATGCTGTCTCCTTTTGCATGCATTACTATCCAGGATGTGCAACCTGGGCTTACATATTACACAGGCTTATCGGAGTTTGCTTGCGGCCACTCGAACACCCCTCTCCCCTCCCCAGCTAAGTCATCTGTTCTAATGAAGTGAAGAAACCAAACCACCGTCTTTTATAAATTGCCATGGAAACCAAGTGCCTTCAATGAAACAAGCCTGATTTAAAAATAAATAAATAAAAAAATAATAATAGTTTCAACACAGAAGCTTGCACTGCGAAAATGTGGTTTGTGCAAACTATTTTCTAAACAAACTACGGAGCCTGGGTGTGCAGACTGCAGGCAAGGAGACGAAGTCGCTTCTGGAGATGGATGGACCTAAGCTGCTGCATAAGCCCTTCCGGATGAGATATTTGTTGTTTAGCGTTCCAGACAGCCATGGCCTTTCAGCTTACTACCCATTAGAAAATAGCTTCTGTTGGTCCTGGAAATGGGAGCAGCACTTTTTTTTGATGTTGTTGTTGTTTTTCCAGCTTATCAAGTGGGTCAACCAGAGGAAAAGGTTAAGATACACTTAGTGCAGAAGGTGGTAAAACACAGAAGAGATGTTTGTGCTGTAAACTCCATTCACAAGGCAGTCAGCTCCAGCATTAGTGGGATGGGGAGGCATGTGTGGGGACAACGGTGCGTGCCGAGACACTCAGCAAACTGCAGAGCTCACTGCAACCCTGGCACCAGCGAAGCACCAAGGGTGCTGTGCCTCTGCTCTGTAGCCAGACTCTGTGCAGATCATGAAAGATTATTTTGTTATTGTAGCAAAATTTTAAAAAAACAAGAGAAAAAAATCCACTTTTACAACAACAACAAAAACAAACTAAAAAAGGCTGTACAAATGGTTTTGAGCTACCCGAACACATACCGTGAGCCAGCCGGTTTTCCACTGCATTGTAAAGTTCCCTTACAGTTGTTTATGACAATTTGAATACCTTTTTCCTTAAATTATCTCAGCTTTTAACTTCATTTAAAAAAAAAAAAGACTTTTGTCTAAAGAAGAGTATTATAATTATCATTATTCTGTGTTCTCTTGATACCCTAGGAATAAAAAAAAATATATGCAAATAATTGGAGTACAAACTTAAAAAAAAAACAGATGAGTATAATATTTGCAAATATGAGTATAAAAAGCACAACGAGATGCAGTAAAACAATGACAAGGCTTGACTTTTTTTTATTCTGTAGAGAAATGTTTGTGCAAATCCAGTAATTCAACTAAAGAGATAATTTTACAGCTATGTTCAATAAAGCCTCTTTCCAGGTAAGGTATGCCAAGTGGTATGTGTGTTTGTTGAGCAGTGTGCCTTCTGCGCCCCAGATGGGTGCAACTGGCATGGCTTGTTTTTTCCTGTGATAAACTGGTGTTGCATGAAGAAATAATGGTCCATTCTGGCGATGCTCAGGGGCTGGAGCTTTGGAGGATGCTGTCAGCTCCCTGGTTTGTAGGCAGTTTGTGGTACCTGTAATTCCCCACACCGCAGCAGGAAAGCTGCTCTGAAGATGGTGGGATCTCAGATTCTGGATGAACTGTGGGATGACACTCTTATAAATAACCCAAATTTCCCACCGGCAAGCACTGGGTTTTAACTGGGGATGGAGAAGCAGGTCAGGTATGGTAAGACCCTGATGCAGATTTTTGTGTAGGAGTTTGTTTTTTCTCTTAAGTCAGGATTTGTGGAAGCCAAACCTTCACCTGTATCCTCCCGCTGATCTCTTGTGAAAGCCACAGAACTGTGGGATTGTCTGAGAGATTTCCCTCTGGGTGCTTTTGGCATGAGTCTTCGGAGGGGCTGGCTTTGCCCAAGGCTGCTAGGAGCCCTGCCAGAAATGGATGCACGAGGGTTTTGCAGCAGACTCCCCTGTTACATTTCCTGTTCTGTTTCTGACCATTGTGCGATCTCAGTTTTGCTCATTTTCTAGTTTGAGCAGCTGCAGTGTTGCTCCTGAAGGAAGCTGAGCTGGAGCTGTGTCAGGCACTGCATGAAGTCCCCACATGCTTGCACTTCACCATGCTAAGCTGAAGGCAGACCTTGTTCTGCTGTATTTTATGACACTCGATTTCACCACTCTGATCAGATGAAAGAGGGAATATAGAAAAAAAAAAACAAAAGTGGCAATCTGTCAATCAATTTGAAGTAAACATGAAGCATTCCATTTGCTTTAAAGTATTTTCCTGATTTTCCTTTTGATTTATCCCTTCCAAAAATAGACTCAAAGTAAACTGAAATTTGGACACCCATTGATCAGCACATGCCAGGAGAAGTATCTTCAAAACACCGTGCAGCGCTTGCACCACAGGGCTGATGGCAGTGGTGTAATGGGGGACTCCATGGGAAGGGAGGATTTGGAAAACACCTGGCAGTGTCCTCTGGTGCTTGGGCAGCTGTGAGGAAGACAGCCTTGAAGACAAAGAAATGGAGATCATGCTTGCTTGTTTAGATCCCAAGCTAAGATTTCTTAATTCTTTCACAGGATGGTGTGGGAAAATAAGGGCATTATTGGAGTACTCCCCTTTCATTGCATTCAGCAATGCCATGCACGTTTTGTTCTTTCACAAAGCACATAGTTTGAACGTGAAATTCCAGATGAAGTGCTTTGATCTCACTCTGCTATCAACCTACCACTTCTCCAGCTGGCTTCAGGCATGCTTGGATCCTGGGTGGGACACAAGTGGGGATAAAAGAGCATAGACTAAAAGGGGTCAAACATATTTCAGATCTCCCTATATCCCTACAAATGCAAAATTGCAATTTGAAGGCAGGAGCAGCTCTTTGAGAGCCCATCAAAGTGGCAACGGCTTATGTGATGGAGGCATTAACTAGTGGAGGATAGGGTGTTTACTTGAGCCCATCTCATATCAGCCAGTGTTTGAAGACTATTATCTAAGGTGTGCTACTGTCAGGCCCACAGAAATCCTTTGAAATGTGAAATTTCCTCTGAAACTGGGAGAGGAACTGCTGGTTCCCAGTGAGGTGGAGCCGCAGCACCTAGTCCCTGAATGGCTGCAAGCCACACACACAAGTACCAACCTCCACTGATGCTGGAGCAGTTTTCTTCTTGACACCCAGACTTGAGTCTGCTTGCATTCAGCAGTGTAAATGGCAGAATTTAGTTTGAACAGCTCTGGGGGCAGTTGAGGTCTCCAAATTTTAAAACAAAGTTGATTAGTTAAAACATTAGCATATCGTTGAAGTTTGTTTTCTCTTTTAATGCCTTGTAAGGTCAGAGAAATCCCTTTCTAGTGAATGGTTTAGTCAGAATAATCAGATTTTTTTTCACCCTTAGTGGAAGAGGTCTACCTCTTTTATTTTTGAAGGGTTTACTCTCTAGTCATGTTTTTCCATGTATGAAGGGGTAATTGAAAATGTCTTCCTCCTAAAAAAAAAAATGTGATCCATCAGAACAATGGCTGTATATGGTAGTTGAATAAAAACAAACAAAAAAATATACAGTTTGGTATTATAAGCACTCTGCATATATATGCTAATAAAGAGGTTGGGTGCCAAATTCTTGTATTTTTCTATAAAATAAAAAAAAAAAACAAAATCTAAAACCAAAAAAAAAAAAATGTTTTTTTTTTGTTTGTTTGGGTTTTTTTTTTGCAATAAAAGCACACTGCCAATGTAAGTTTCAGCAGCCCAGAAGGAATTAAACCAGCACGTACCGACCATTTGATTTTCCTTCTTGCAAGGAGCTTACGAAGCTACAGCTCATGCAATCCTTCAGTCATTGGACCTTCAGTGTTCAGCACTTTTTATGTAATCTTTCGCTAAACCCATAACCATTGAGTCACCCCAAAGATCCATTGGGAACTTGCACTGGAGCGGGGTGTAGGCAGGAAAAGGTGCTTTGCAGGACTTGGGCTGGAGAGGGATGTGCTGGGCACACCTGAGCCAGCAACCACCAACCATGCCCCTGCTCACAAATACATCAATCTTAAAACCAATTAAAAGGTGGAAGAGGGAAGATGTATTTGATTTTTGCCCTCTACACTGCCCGTGATGCTATTGCAAAACCTCGCTGCAGGAAGGTTTTCTGTCCTCATTCTTGTTTCCAGCATAAATGTGTCCATGGCCAGTTTAGCATGATTTGTTCTTGTGCCAGCAATGGTAAAACATATTTTCCTCCTTTCCTGATGTTAAGCTCCGATCCCTCCTTACCCCCATACCGGCTTCAGATTGCCCTTTTTTCTGTTTTGGTCAGGCTACAATATTTCTATCTCTGGGTTAGAAAAGATACATAAAAACAAAAAAGAGCTATTGTTAACCCAGATAAAATATGATATAGTTTTCCTTTTTATCTGTCAGATTAGGGAGTTTAGTAGAAGCTTTTTGTTATGGGAAGTTTGTTGTATTTTCTCCCCAGAACACCACATCCGAAGTTTGTGAACACTCAACTGGAGTGCTTCTGGAGAGCAAGTCTTTCAGAGATTGCAGTGCTGACACTGACTGCCCTTTTATAAAATAGCGTCTTACTCATACCTCACAGAGAAATAGTTGTGTTATGATGAGACTACTCAAGTGACAGTAAACGGATCAGGTCATTAGAGAATGCAATGACACTGTACATGGGGTGAGTAATTCCTTCCTCCCTGCATGTCCCTTCTGAAACGCCCCAAAACATCCAAGTTCAGCAATAAGCCCCCAGTTGTTCACTTCATTTTGTATCTTACTGAGCTCAATCCTAGTACTTTGATTACAAGATCTGGACAAGAAACAGAAACAAAAATAAGATGATTATGTTTGCGTTCACTCTGTAGATGTGTGCATGCATCCTGGTAGCCTCACCTAACATGGTCTCTCCTAGCTGGTTCTTTGTCATGGTCATGTTGAATGTCACTAGAGACCTATGACAGGTGATTTGCAACCAATTTCGTTCCATTTCTATTCTGTGTAAATTTTTTTCCATTGAGAAAGAGACTTGAATGTTGGCAAGTGCTTGGACAAATGAATATTAATGTAGCTTTGCTCACAGCTAAGGTCATGGCTGACAACTGGAGAAATATCACTGGTGATTCCTTGGGATACAGGACCTTTGCATGAAACAAGTCTTCTGCAGGCTTGAAGGGATGTGCTTCACCACCAGTAAGGAAGAAAGAGGAACACTGCAACAACCATGACTGTAAATTCTTGAATGCATTTTGATAGATATGACCACAAAAGAGGTTGAAGAAACACGTTACTGCAAGAATTAGCAGCCTCAGCACCTTCTCAGGAAAGATCAGATGTGTTTCTGCTTGCACACTACCAATGGCAAAGGGAAAAAATCTGTGTTTGTGTGTGTAAATACTATATAAATAACTGTAATTGTATGTATTTAATGTATATATAATGATTATTACATTTTAATGATCTGAAGTATTGTATATAGCCAAAACTTGGTCTCTTATTTTACTAGCACACCCACTGTAGATTTATTTTTTGTCATTGTTGTTAATGTATCTGGTTACAATACGAACTGGTCTCACTTTTACCTCAAAGGGTATATGTTCTTTATGTACATTTTATAAAAAAAAATAGAAAAAAATCACTCAGTATTTTTGGTTACCTTTTCAATTGCCAGATGTATTTTCTGTCTTTTCCTCTTCAGCTGCATGCTGCCCTTGCTTCTGCCCCCTAGATCCACTGCAGGGAAGAGTGGAGTTGGGAGAGACTGGGTTTGATGGGCAATATTTCTCGCTCAATGCATCCCCGCCTTCCTGAGAGATGTAAGAAAGGAGGGCTGTCTCTCTCCATCCCAGCTCTCCATCTCTTGCTAGGTGTTGAAAGGTTTTGATTAGACCACAAAAAGGCCATGCCACCATCTTCTCTACTGAGCCTTTCCTTCCCTTGCGTGATGCCAGGGAAGTAACAGGGTTTTACCCAGCCATACAAACAGTTAAGGGCTGAAGTCCATTTCTTTGACTTTCTGTAATGCCCGCAGAATCCCTGGGAAGAAACCTGCATAAAGATGTATGCACCATGGCAGACAAAGCTACTTCAAGAGCACTCTTTCCCAAGCCAGCCATGTGGGTATTGATGTGATGAGTGCACAGAGCTATCCAATATATCTCTGCCTTTATGTAATGGTGTGGAGTAGCACAGCATCTCCAGATCCAATGTGGACCTTACTGCATGAAGAGTCTGGATTTGTCAAGGTCAGTGGTTACATGGTCCAATGTGGAGGTTGTCCTGGACCTCATCAGTCATGGGGTTGATGCCCATTCTCTGCTGAAGGCATGACCTGGGTATTTCTTCTTGTCCAGCTCTTCTGTTGAGACTGCAGTTTGG